TTGGCATTCTAACACTAGGGCCACAGCTCCACTTCTGGCTTTTGGTTGGTTAGTTAGAGAGAAGAGTCTCACAGACTTCCCTGCTTAGGATGGCTTTCAACAGCAATTTTCAGATCTTAACCTCTGGAGTAGCTAGGATTACAGTCATGAGCCACTAGCACCTGGCTTCTAGCTGACTGCTTAGTGTCATATTTTTTCCCAAATGTGTTTCCTTGTTGAAGGATTGAATAACATCAACAGAACTGTTCCATAATCAAGATGCAGCACAGCAGTGTTGCTCCTGAATGACTCACCAGCAAGCAGTAGAATCATGTAAGGAGCTTGGCTACAACTTATGACCCATCCATAGTTCAGTCCATTAGGGAGGGAACCCAGAGATTTGTGTTTCTAACAAGTTCCAAGGTGATACTGAAGCTGGTGGCCTGGACACTGTACTTTGAGGACAACTGAGCTAGGACCTGTAAGAGATGCCATTGATCTCAGCATTCAAATCCCCCTGCAATGATGGGCATTTGTCCTCAACTTGGAGCTCTTGCTTAGAAGGATGGAGATTTTGATGCTGATGGATGGAGCACCTAACATGTAAGCAGCAAGAGATGAAAGATGTTTTTCATGCTGGTTTACTTTGTCCTCATAATTATGCCATCTGACATCATGAGACTTCTTTTTTAGGATATTCTGGCATGGTTAGGAGACAATATCCCATGCCTATGAAATGGTGGAGCTAGGATTTAAACTTACCTATTCTAATTCCAATCTATAAACTTACAAACATGTGAACTTGGAAGTGAAAAAACTTTCTTTAAGGGGCTGGGAAGGTGGCTCAGTGGTAGAGCGCTTGCCTTGCATGCCTGAGGCCCTGGGGTCAATTCCTCAGCACCACATAAGCAACAAGAAAAAAGCCAGAAGTGGTGCTGTGGCTCAAGTGGTAGAGCGCTAGCCTTGAGCTGAAGAGCTGAGAGACAGCGCCCAGGCCCAGAGTTCAGGTCCCACGACTGGACCCCCCCCCCAAAAAAAAACTTCCTTTAATGAGAGAGATGGTAGTTGGGTGTAGTGGCTCAAGCGTATAATCTTAGCTATTTTGCAGGCAGAGGCAGGGGAGCAGAGCTTGAAGGCAGCTTGGGCATGTGTTATATACCTGTCAGCGCAGTGTTACACACCTGTCACCCTAAGGGAGGAGCAAAATGGTTAGGCCCAGCGATCTGTGTCTATCATCCCAGGAGATAAGGGAAGCCCAAATAGCCCAGTGGCAACTAGGCTGGGCATACAGTGAAACACTACCTTGAAAATAACCAATGCAAAAAGAGGTTGACAATGTGGTTCACATGGTAGAGTTCCTGCTTAGAAAGCGTAAGGACCCAAGTGCAAACTCAAAGTTTTTGTAAAAAGAAAAGATTAAATCTTACTGGGATGGATAGTACGTGTAATAGAATTGCTTTGTAAGTTTGAAATTCTTTCCACATTGTTTCTGAGGGCCTTGAAATAAGGGTGATGAGTAGAGGGGTACACAGCTGGTGATGATGAGGAAATTCTGAGCTGCAGACATATGGATTAAAAGTAATCCAAACCCAAAGAAACAGATCCCTTCACTTCCCTCCTGTGTAATAATTAGTATATGTCTAGGATAATCCTAGTAGATGAGCAGAATAGCTCAATAGCTATGTACATATGACCATATAAGAAGATGCTAAATGAAATGAACTCCAAGACATGGAAATAAGAGGTTTTCCTTTGTTGTTGTTATTTTTAATGTACTGTGATTTTTTTCTTTTGTGCTTTGTTTCCTGTGGTTTATCCCCTGTTGTCACTGTATTTGATTTTGGTGCCCTGGGTATTGTATGTGTTTATCTGAATTAGGGAAGGGAAGGGGGAACAATAAAATGGTGAGACAAAGGACAAAGGGTGAACCAATGCAACAGTGATACTCATAGGACAATATGTTGGAAATGAACTGTACAACTTGGTGGGGGAAGGATTGGGGAGAGGGAAAGTGGGAAAAAATGAGGGAGGGTGTAACAAATTCGATAAGAAATGTACTCACCACTTTACTTATGTAACTGTAACCCCTCTGTATATCACCTTGACAATAAAATTTAAAAAATTCTCATGGCAGATCCTAATGGCTTTTGAGGACCTAAAGATCACACATACTAGGTATGGCATAAAGTTCAAAGCCCATAGAAGATGTGTCTGTATAGACACAATGGAGTTAAAAGATGGGGACGGGCAAAAGGTATGTGGATCAAAGATGCTGTTCTCTGAGGCCATGTCTGCATGTAAAGTCAGGAACAGAGGGCAAGGTGACAAGGTGAAGTTATGCTGGACCCTCACCACTCCATAACACTCTCCCTACTAGGGATTCTGTCCTTGTTGGAAAGGAAACGCTACATATTAGCACTCATATACTGCATTTTATTAGCACTCATATACTGCATCTTAGAGGTGGATCTCACTTAAGAACAACACCAGCAGTATAACAGAGAAATGGTTACTGACACAGTTTTCATTTGTTTGTTTGTTGTTTATATTTACAATTCTGGCTTGTTTTGTAAACATTTCTTTACCCACATTTGCTCAGGAAAATGCTAATTAAGCACAGAAATACCTTCCTTTATGCTAAATATTTGGCTGGTCATTTCTTTGAAGTTAGTCCTAAGCTTGTAAGAAATCCAATGCAAGGGATAAGTGTGAATTACATGTATTCTCTCTAATGTTATCAAACATACATGCCAAAGACAAACATTAAAAGATAAATTGTGTTTCCCATACTCTGTTAAGTTCTTTCTGCTTACTATAGGCAATGTTATATATCTAGCCAGGAACTTGGCTCACTGTGGCAATGTATTATGGCTTCTTTGCTTCCCTTGCTTCTATGCAAAAATTGTGTGTGTGTGTGTGTGTGTGTGTGTGTGTATGTATGTATGTGCCTGTTAGTGCTAGTACTGGATCTTGAACTCTGGACCTTACACTCTTGTATAGAGCTATACCTCCACTTCCAGCTTTTTGGTTGTTAATTGGAGATAAGAGTCTCACAGGTTTGTCTGCCTGGGTTGGCTTTAAACTGGGCTTCTCAGTGTTCAGCTTCCTGAATAGCTATAATTACAGGCATAAGCCACTGATGGCTGTCTTTTATGTCTTAAGAAAGGGAAAACTGCTTACTATTACTCTGCTTCAGAGACGGCTAGAAAATGACCAGAAGAGCATGTTCAGCCTATAGGATTTGGTGTAAAGATGGTTTCACTGAAAGACAGCTATATTCATTTGTATGTTTGTATTTTCATGGTTGCTCTCATACTACACAAGAAGTTGAATAGTTATGACCGGACTTTAGGACCAGCTAAGCTCAAATTCTGGCCCTTCATGACAAGAATGGATATTCTCCTTTAGGAAAATGATGTTTGATCTAAGGATCAATGTGGAATAGAGAAACTACGCCTAGAAAGTACACTAAGAGGAGCCTGTGGTGCTGAGGCCACCCACTCCCCTGCTCCCTCAGTAAGTGGAAAACACCTGGACTCCACTTGGGCAGGCCAGAACCCAAGCACGGCATTCTCTTTTTCTTTCCTTTCTTTTTTCTTTCACCCGTGCCATTATCTACTTGGAATAAACCATTTTTCTCCAATCTGCTATTCATATCCCACTGAAGTCTTTCTTTTGTCTTTGCCTGGTGCTACCATTCATGCCCCTCCTGCTCACTCTTGTTTTCACATATCAACTAGTCCATCAGCTAACTTCAATTTAGCATGTCCAAAATCAAACTCCTGCTTTCCCTTACTTCAAACCTGCTTCTTATCTCCACATAAAGCAAATCCAGCCTTCCAGTTGCTTGGGCCAACATCTGTAGTCATTCTTTACTAGCTCCTTTCACTCATAACTTTCCTGGAAGTGGAGCTGTGGCTCCAATGGTAGAGTGCTTACCTTAAGCACAAAAGCTCAGGGGACAGACAGCCCTAGGATTGTTGTGCACGCGTGCGCACACACACACACACACACACACACACACAGTGTTCAAACTAAGATATAAAACTTCTATATTCACTACCCTTGAGCTGGCTTGTCACCCAGTGGACAGCATTAGCTACAAGCCATGGCCCAAATGACCTCCCTAGGCTGCTCCTGCTTTCTCCCAACATCTCTTTCTTCTCATACTGCTCCAGCATTGACGCTTCCTTGATGTCACATCAGGTGTTGGAGACACAGACTCCCGTGACCCTTCCTGAGGAATTCTGTGCTTACGAGGTCATGTGTGTTAGATGAGGAATGAGAAAACTTTCCATAAGCTCTGGCCACAGTCAAGCACCTAGCCGCCTGCCTCAAGGGGGGAAAGAGAAAACTCTTTCAGTCTTGTATTTCAGACACCGCAGTCAGGAGAGGTGCTGAGGTATGCTCTTTCTGCCCCCTCTTCATGGCGCCATAAACACATAAAACAACACTTTGACGCTTCTATGGGTAAAACCTTTGTGCCTGTACACCTTTTGACACCTTTTGACCTCATAGAAACCTACCTTATAACCTTTTGACCTCACAGATATCTCTTATAACCTTTTGGCCTCGCGTATCCCCTGTAACTTTTTGGCCCATATATCCTCTGTAGCCTTTTGGCCTTGTGAAACTGTTTGGAGGGGAAAGGGAAAAACAAGTCATTTAAATAAGGATACAGGTGGACCCGTTCCAACAATGAGAAGTACAAGTTGTCATGTCGAAAACGAACTTTACAACTTTGGTGGGGGGGGTGGGGAGGATTGGGTGGGGGGGCAGGGGAGGAGGTGGGAAGGGATGGGAAGAGGAAACAAAGGAGGAGGCTACAATGCTTGATAAGAAATGTGCTCATTATCTTGCCCATGTAATTGTAACCCCTCTGTACAGTATTTTCACAATAAAAAATAAATAAAAAATAAATAAAAAAAGAAACTGTCACATGCCCACTGACTAAGATTTACTTTCTTTGTGTGTATGCCATATACAAGTAGGTAGTTTCCCCTATTAAACTTTGCCCCTACCCGCATGTGGTCCACTCTCTGCCCACCAGGCATTGCGTTCCCAGGTCTCGATGAGGAATCAGCAGCAGTCAGGCTCTGTTCTCTCATCTGAGCCGTCTGGTCTTGAATCTCCCAACCCATCTGGATCTCTCTGCTGTCATGTGTGTCTGAACATGCTCCTCCCCTCATTTCAGACCTCTGCCCAGATTCACTTCTGTAGAGGGAAGAATCCTGAACACACATTTATGGCAGATCTTCTCACTGTCTATTCCTTTGTCTTGATTATTGATTACCCCCCCCCACACACACACTACATTGGGATGCCCCTCCATGATGTTTATTATCTTCCTTCCTTCCTTCCTTCCTTTCTTCCTTTGCCAATACTGAAGTGGAATTCAGGGCTTTGCACTCTTGTTTGACATTTTTACTCAAGGATGGCACTCTACCACTTAAGTCATACGTACCCTTCTGTTTTTATTTTATCTAATTTTTCAAGTTTTTGCAGGTTAATTGGAGATGTGTCCCATGGTCTTTTGTGCCCAGGCTGGCTTTGATCTGAGATCTCAGCCTCCTGACTAGCTAGGATTACAGGCAAGAGCCACGGGTACCTAGAAACTGACAGATTTCTAGCACATACAGGTACTAAAAATCATTTATGGTATGCATAAGTGAATGATCTACCTTTTTTTTTTGTCAGTTGTGGGACCTGAACTCTGGGCCTGGGCGCTGTCTCTCAGCTCTTCAGCTCAAGGCTAGCACACTACCACTTGAGCTATTGCGCCACTTCTGGCTTTTTCTGCTTATGTGGTGCTGAGGAATTGAACACAGGACCTCAGGCATGCAAGGCAAGCACTCTACCACTGAGCCACCTTCCCAGCCTCTGATCTATCCTCTTAAGTCATAATTCTGCCTTGGTTCTTATTCTTTCTCAATGAGCCTTATGGCTGATGTCAAAATGTCAAGTTTTCATACAGAGAAAAATTGTTAATATATTTCCCTTGTTCAAAACCTTGCATCATATTCCTATTGCAATTTTAGACAAATTCTAAACCTTGATGTGTTACAGTTATAGTTTGGTCTCTGCTTACCTCACCAACTTTATTTCTGACATAGCCTCATAATCAATTCCATGACAGGGAAATCCCCAATTCCATCTCCAGGGCATGTCCTATACTTGTGAGCACTTCTTAGTTACCCTTAGTTACCCTTCTTTGCCTCCCTTTGGTATTTAGTTTAACTATCTTATTTCTTGGAAGCCATTTTTTAAAATCAAAATACTGTTCTCTTTCTACGTGTTTCTATGCCAACTTATATTTACAGATTATAGCTTTCAATATACTAATATTTAATGATTCATTTAAAGGTATGTACCCCCTCCCCCATCACACTGCCTTACTCATTTCAATATTGTCGCTGCCTAGTACAACAAATATATAAGAAACAAATGAAAAGATGCCCAGGCTAGTCCTTCCCTGAAAGAAGCTCAAACTCTAGCAATCAACATAAGGGCATTTCCTCCTCCTCCTCCTCCTCCTCTTCTTCCTCTTTTCCTCTTCCTCCTTCTCATCCTTTTCCTCCTCCTCCTCCTCTTCCTCCTCCTCTTCCTTCTCCAACTCCTCCTTCCCCTCCTCTTTCTCCTCCTTCTCCCCATCCTCATTCTCCCCTCCTCTTCCTTCTCCTATTCCTCCTCCTTTTCCTTCTCCCAAACTCAGTACTTCTCTTTAATCCAATTTCTAAACCACTTTCTCAGTTGGGCATTAGGGCATTGTTTATTTTTTAAAGCTACATTTTATGCATGAATGTTGACATTATCTATAGACTGTGTGTGTGTGTGTGTGTGTGTGTGTGTGTGTGTGTGTGCTGGTCCTGGGGCTTGAACTCAGGGCACAAAAATGCTGAGTTTTTGTGCTCAAGGTTAGTATTCTTCCACTTGGGTCACAGCTCCACTTCTGGCTGTTTTGGTAGTCAGTTGGAGATAAGAGTCTCATGTACTTTCATGCCTGGACTGGGTTGGAACCACAATCCTCAGATCTCATCCTCCTGAGTAGCTAGGACTACAGGATTGAGCTATCAGTGCTTGGCCATCTACAGACTTTTAAAAAATTAGTTTCTCCAAAGCATACAGAGAATCCAAGTCATATTTTGAAGTCTGACAATATTTAAAAGTCCATTTCATAATCATCTCCTGTACACTGTAATCATTGTGAGGATTAAGAAAATAAATATGAAATACTTGGCAAGAGGAATATACTCCATAAATTCTAGCTCCTCTCCTTCATCTTTCTGGTTCATTTCAGACAGGTGTGGAGGTTATTGACATTTGTCTTGGTCCTCTAGCTCACAAGGTAGCACAAAATCCATCCTGGTCGATAGCTGATGATTATGACAGAATGTGGTAATTTGGCTGAGGGCTTTTGAAATGACAAATATATAAATAGCATGCAGAGCAAAGGCTCGATGAGTAAGAATGTACTGGAGCTTTTCCATAACTGGTAGAAAAACAAATGTGCATAGAGCAGAGAAGAAAAATAAATGTGCTGAACACGAAAGCTCATGGAAGAAGAGGTGGAGTTGGGAGGGTGGCAGGCAAATATTTAGGGCAATGTGGCACTATGGTTAGTGTCAGAGAAGTAGGGAGTAGTTAGCATCTCAAAGAGCAAGAGGATTTTGAAGAGAAAGTCTCTTCCTTCCAGTTCACAGTCAGTGTGTCTCCCACTGGCATGACACACAATCCCTAAGAGAAGGTCCGCATCCGAGGAGGTTGGAGGAAGGTGGGTAGGCAGTAATGGAGGCTTGCAGAAGGGTAGACAGATTTGCGTTCAGATTCTCTCCTTCAATCAGTCCCTCACTTCTCCTGCGCCATGCTATTAGATATCCCTAAAGCCAGTGACAGGACCATGTAGGAGACGTTTAATTTATGTGGCTTCCTAGACCAGCAACCTATGGACCATATTGTAGCATATTTAGGCAATGCTTGCGACAAATGACAGAAGAGCCTCTAAAACATACATGCTCCAAAAATTACACTACACATACCCTAGCACCGAACAGCCACAGCTTTCACTGACTTTCAAATCCTGCCTCTGGATTCATCAGCTCAGCTCATTCTCCTGTGTCATTTGGAGAATGGTGGTTCATTTGTACTCTTAATTTTTTATTATTATTATTTATTCTATTGAAGTCATTGCACAAAGGAGTTTCACTTCAACACATCAATTTAAAATGTTTTATTATTATCTTTAGATAGTTGTACAAAAGAGTTGTCATTTAACAAAGCAGTTTATGAATACAATATGTCTTGATCAATATCACCCCTGTCAACATTCTCCCCGCCCCTCCCTTCCCTCACTCTTCTTAATTGTATAGGATATACATTGAATTCTTGACTGAATTCTCCTCCTCCTCTTCATTCATCTACCCCTTGACTCCACCCTTTTTGAATACCCACTTCCTGTGTTTTATTTTGCTGAACTTTGATTTTGGCTTTCTAAGGAATCACATGATTTGAGATCTCCCTTGAAACTACCATATTTCAGTTAATATATTTGTATACATTTGCATACCACTCAATGTATGGTATTTATGAGTTTGTAAACTAAATCTAGCTTCCACATACAAGGGAAATCATGTGTCCCTTGTCTCTCTGTGCTTGGCTTACTTCACTTAACGTAATTTTTTCCAAGTCTTTCTATTTCTTTTATATCGAAGAATGAGACAAAGCATCTTGATCTTCATGCTTCCATCTGTCCCAGCCCTATCCATCCCATCAAGTTACCTGATCTCATTTTTACATATATACATTTAATAGTATGCCTATATTCACCCACCCTCCTCTCTTCATTTATCTGATCCCTTCCCTTTAACACCCGCTTCCAACAAAATATGCTTCAGCTTCTTGTATTCATTCTATTCAACTGTCAGCTAATCATTGAAAGGAGTTGTACAGGAGATCCCACCACTGTGTATACTACAGTTTGTTTGCTTGTCTCAGATATACTAGTCATTGCAAATAAGGGAAACCATGGGACCTATGTTTCTTTGGGCCTGGCTTACTTCACTTAATATAATTTTTGTCAAGTCTTTCCATTTCCTAACAAAAGGTGCAATGTGATTCTTTCTGATGGAGGCATAGAATTCCATTATATATACACGTATCAATACATATAGATATATGCATATATATCTTACATTTTCTTGATCCATTCACTTACTGAGGGGCATCTGGGTTGGTTCCCTATCTTAGCTATGGTAAATAATGCTATGATAAACATGGTTGTGCTGGTAGCTTTTGTATAACCTTGTTTGTGATTGTTTGGGTAAATGCCCAAAAGTGGGATTGCTGGGTCATAAGGGAGCTCTGTGTGGAGTCTTTTGAAGAACGTCCATACTGCTTTCCCGAGTTTACACTCCCACCAACAATGCAGTAGGGTTCCCTTTTGGCCACATCCTCTCCAGCATCTGTTGTTACTAGATTTCTTGATTATAGCCATTCTAACTGGGGTGAGGTGGTATCTCAGTGTTGTTTTGATTTGCATTTCTTTTATGGCCATAGATGTTGAGCATTTCTTCATGTGTCTATTGGCCATTCTTCTTTCC